GTGAAGAGAAACTATCTACAAACAAGAGAGGAAGGAAGTAGACTTTGTTCCTTAACAGAACATCGGCAAAGAAGGCTGGATTTAAAGTACCATACTCCAGAGAATGATTATGTTAAAGAGGCGAAGAAAGAAACCAGCCCTATGGAAGAGTCAGTTATTCCTCTATTTCCTTTACTTAAGGAAAAAAGGAATAAAGAAAAGAACAAGGAAAGATTTGAAGTAGATCAGCCAGTGTTGAAGAAAGTCAGGGGACCAGAGTTGCCTAATCCCTTGTTATTTTCATTAGATAGCAAAGGGAGATGCGAGCTAGAAATAAAATAGATATTGGGATAACCACAAACTGATACAATGACTGGTGCTGATCATTTTCTAGAAGCCCCAATAAGCATGATCAACCTAACATGGGCAGAGAAAGGAAAAGGAAAGGCCACGTGGAAGGTCAAGGCGGAAAGAAGACCAGTTGATAGACCAACTAAATGAGCTATCAAGCTGCCCAAAAAACCTAAGGTTGTCATAATCAAAGGAGTAGTGATATACAACAGGAGTCAAGGTGAATGCGAACTAAAAGTACCAACAATTGGAGTTGTCATTGATTATGAATTGATTAAAAGGAGAAAAGAGGAAGAACATGAAAACCACATGAAAATCATGTGGGCAGCTGAGAAGGAAACCTCTAGGAATGTCTTCCAGAGGTTGGGAAAAGACTCTCAGCCTAAAAACTTGTCAGAAGTGTTCAGGAACTATGAAGCTTCTGAGGAAGTAGAGGATAAGGAGGCCAAGATACCAAGATGGGTGGATGCGAGGCCATCCCAACCCGTTTATGCCGATTGAGATGTAAGAACAAAAGGAAGGACCACGAACCCGATCACAAAGAAAAATCTTGCCTGACTTGGGTGAAAATGGTACATAATCAGAAATGACGGGAGACCTGTTAAAGAGATGGGAGCCTCCATGATCAAGAGGGTCCAAAGGCAGCATAAAGCCCACATAAACTCATTGAAACTTCCCACTACTTTGGAAACCTCAAAGAATGTAAAACTCAAAAACGTTCCTTATGAAAGAAGACATCAGCTTCATTGGAGGAGTAAGAATGAGGTGAAGAAGGCAAACAACAAGAATGAAGAGGAAGGCAAACAGCAAGAATGAAGAGCTCAAGAGGATATGATGATGATGCCTACCCCAAAATGGAGCCCAAAACCGATCTCCTTTGGAACTATTTCACCCGAGAGACGGTTGCCCGCACCATTGTTAATGGATAATATCTGCGAAGTTCCAGAACAATTGCCGAAGCACAGACTTGGTTGGAGGAGTTTATGAACAACATTAGGGCAAGGGAAAGATTTACCTGGACCCAGCAACTTCCACGTAAACATGGCATATGTTTTATCAGCTATGTTTCGCGCCGAGCATGATCAACTACCCACAATGGAAGGTGATTACTTGGCAGCAGAACCAATGATGACGCATGTTAATGTTGAAAAAACTGGACAATGAGAGTCCAACCAAACAAGCACGCCTGAGCAATCAGGAAGGAAGCCTGAGAAAATATATTCGAACAAAATGGTTTTTGTTCGCTCGAGTTTGACCCTAGCCAACCATCTCAAACCCATATACGTAACTGCTTACCTGGAAGGGGTACCTTTCAAGAGGGTCTTGATCGATGGAAGGACCGCAGTTAATGTGTTACCTTACAAGCAGATGAAGAAAATGTGCAAAGGCGAGAAAAATCTTATTCCTACGGATCTTACAGTTTCTAGTTTCACATGAGCTATCACCCGAACTCATGGGATATTACCATTAGAGGTCGATTTGGGTTCAAAACAAATCATGCTGGCCTTTTTTGTTGTAAACAGTACTTCTACTTATGAAGCTTTACTGGGCAGATATTGGATTCACCATAGTCTCTTTGTGCCATCTACTTTGCATCAACAAGTGGTTGTCTACCATGAAGAAAGGGAAACGGGACCTGGGTTTTCAGAAATAGTGGAGGCCGAATCACGACCATTCTTACCTATAGCCAACATCGCAGAAGCCAACTTCTACGATCCCAGTATTGGGATTCTTCAGTGTTCAGAAGCTGATAAGAACGGCCTCCCAACTAAGGTGATGGCCCAAAAGCTTCTAGAATAAGGGTTACCCCTTACAAGGGAAGAATGAGATCGGCCCAATATCATCCCTAACCCCCAACACCATTGATGTCAGAACAGAATAGGAAAGACCAAGTGGTTGCAGTCAGGTCCTTAATAAAAAGACTGTTGGTGTATGGGAGAGAGAAAAGACAAGAAAAGGATAACTTAGCCTTAGAAGAAAAACAGAGGAGCGGGCTTCAAGTAGCCAGAACAGAGAAGTAAGGTCTTTTTGGGAAGAGTTAGAAACGACCATCCAAATAGCTGAGTGTATATATGACTTAGATGGACCAGAAGATTTGCCCAAGAATCCAGAACTAGTTGAGTTTTTGTGTGCAGAACGAGACAAACCAGCCCCAGAAGTACAAAACCCCTTGGAGACCATTGATTTAGGAACTAAGGAGGATCCAAGACCAATACATATTAGTGGTTTGTTGGAAACCGAAGATTGGGCAAGGATTGTCGACCTTCTACATGAATTCAAAGATTGTTTCGCTTAGCATTACATCAAGATGCCAGGTTTAGATCCAACCTTGGTAAAACATAAAATGCCTATTAAGAAGGGGTTTAAACCTGTCAAACAAGCACCACGAAGAATGTCCAAAGAAATTGAAGAGAATGTCAAGGAAAAGATCAAAAGGCTGGTGAATGCCGTATTTATTAGGCCTGCCAAATACGTTGAGTGGTTGGCCAACATTGTACCTGTTTTGAAAGCATTAACTAAAGCAGTTAGATGTTGTGTTGACTATAGAAACATTAATGGAGCTACGCCTAAAGACGAATACCCCATGCCTATGGCTAACCTATCCATAGATGCAGTGTCCAAGCACAAAGTTATATCTTTTATGTATGGGAATGCTGGATATAATCAGATAAAAATGGCTAAAAAAGATATACATAAAACAACTTTTAGGTGCCCAGGCCATATAGGAGCATATGAGTATTTAGTAATGTCATTCGGGCTCAAAAATGCCGGTGCAACTTATCAAAGAGCGATGAATGCCATTTTTCATGACTTAATCTGGCATAGTATGGAAGTGTATATTGATGACATCGTGGTAAAATCCAAAATTGAATAGCAGCATTTGATGGATCTCAAACAAGCCTTGACAAGAATGACGATCCATAAGCTAAAAATGAACCCAAAGAAATGTGTTTTTGGAGTAAGATCGAGCAACTTTTTGGGATTCCTCGTGCATCAAAGAGGAGTGGATGCTGACAAGAACAAAGTTTGGGAAATCATAGAGACATCGCCCCCACCAATAAAGTGCAACTACAAAAGCTACTAGGAAAAATTAACTTCTTGAGGAGATTCATTGCCAATTTAGCTGGCAAATTCAGCCACTAACTCCTCTACTAAGGCTAAAGGATAAAGAAGAGTTTGAATGGGGCCTACCACACCAAGAAGCTTTCGATAGCATAAAGGCTTACTTAGCCTTTCCACCAGTGCTCATGCCACCTCAGAGGGGAAAGCCGTTAAAACTTTATATTTCTGCCTCGAAGAGGTCAATTGGAAGCTTGCTAGCCCAAAACAACGAATGTGGAAAGGAACAATCCCTATATTACCTCAATAGGATCCTTACTGAGGTAGAAACAAGATATACTCGAGTGGAAAAATTATGCTTGACTTTATACTTTAGTGTTTGCAAGTTAAGGCATTACATGTTGCCTTGCCACATCCACATCATTGCCAAGACCGACGTGATCAAATATATGCTGTCAAAACCAATGTTGACAGGAAAAATTGGAAAGTGGATTCTGGCACTGTCTAAATTTAGTTTTCAGTATGTACCTTAAAAGGCAGTCAAGGGGCAGGCAATTGCAGACTTTTTGGCCGAGCACCAAGAGTCCCAAAAAGAAATAATTAACATCCCTGAAACTCTAGAGGTGGCTAACCTCTGGATCCCACCAAGCAAAGCCATCTCGGGCAAGAAATAGTGGATCCAGCAGGAGGTAAAAAGGATATCCAGCCTATGAGTTACTCCATGAAACCTGTATTTTGATGGATCTTGTACCCAAAATGTTGCTGGAGCTGGGATCCCTATTATCGATCCTAAAGGTACTCACCATTGTTATTTTTTCCTCCTGGATTATCAAGAAACTACTAACAATTGGGTAGAATATAAGGCCTTGATAATTGGCCTAAAGATCTTGATAGAATTGGGGGCAACTGAAGTTGAAGTATTCGGTGACTCAGAGTTGGTGATCAATCAGTTGAATGAAGAGTACAAATGCAGACACATCACTATAGCTGATTATTACTTAGTGGCCACCCAATTGTTAAGCTATTGGGGCACTAAAATATCAGCCAACTACATCCTTAGAGAAGCAAATGCGATTGCCAACGAGATGGCATAATTGGCCTCTAGAGTACAGATCCAAGAGAGAAAGTTTGAAGGGGACATATAGGTCCAAAGAAGAAATCTCCCTTCCATCTTGGAAAGGGGATTCAGCCTAGATGTAATGATTGAAGAATTGGAGATTGAAGATTGGAAGACACATGTTCTTCGATATTTAAATGACCCATCCTTCCCCACAAGTAAAAAGAATAGAGAGCAAGCAACTAAGTACGTTTTGTGGGAAGAAAATCTACTAAGGAAGACTTCAGATGGACTAATGTTAAAATGCTTAGGCTAAGAAGAATAAATGAGGGTAATGGTCGAAGTGCATAAGGGGATCTGTGGAGCACATCAGGCAGGAACAAAGATGAGATGGCTACTTAAGAGATACAGTTATTTCTGGCCCGAGATGGAGAAAGATTGCAAAGCTTATGCCCGAATGTGTGAAGAATGCCAGAGACATGGACCACTCCAACATGTGCCCTCAGTACCCTTAAACCTCGTGGCTAAGCCTTGACCTTTTAGAGGATGGGCAATGGACTTCATTGGGCAGATTCACCCAGCTTATAGCAAAGGGCACACGTTCATAATCGTAGCAACAGATTACTTCACTAAATGGGCAAAAGCTTTAGCAGTAAAAACTAACATTTCAACTACGGTCAAGAAATTCATCGAAACCAAGATCTTACATATATTTGGGGTGCCCGAGACAATTGTCACAGAATGCGGGTCATCTTTTATTTCGAAAGAAGTAGAAGAATTTTCCAGAAAGTTCAAGATAAAGATGATCCAGTCTAGTCCTTACTACCCCCAATCGAACGGTCAAGCTGAAGCCAGCAATAAGATCTTGGTAGGCATTATTAAAAGAATGGTAGTCAGGAATCCAGAGAAATGGTATGAGAAGTTGGGAGAAAAGTTATGGGCGTATAAAACTTCCAAAAGGGCAACAACTGGAACTACTCCTTATGCTCTGACTTTCGGGCAAGATGTTGTGATTCCCATGGAAATTAATGTAAATTCGATCAAAATTCAAAATCAATTCGGGCTACACAGTGAAGAGCTCTAAATAAAATTCAAGAAGGCAAGAAAGTTGTTGCCTGGGCCTACAACAAAAAGGTTAAGTTGAAGAACTTCAAAGAATGAGAGTTAGTATGGAAGGCAATTCTTCCTTTGGAAGCTCAGATCAGAGGCTTTGGAAAATGGAGCCCGACTTGGGAAGGTCCTTTCATTATTAACCAAGTATTGGGTAAGGGTGGATATTACTTAGCAGATTTGGAGGGAGGCTTACAGAAGCATCCAATCAATGTCAAATTCTTGAAAAAATATCACCCAACCCTGTGGGATGTGAGGGACTGCTACATTGAAGAAGAAGTGTAAGCGTCGCATGGGGTCTAAAGTCAGTTTTTGCCTATGGATCTCAGAGAAAATGCAAGAACAAAATAGTTTAAAGAAATCTTGTTCATTTCAGCAAATGTTGAAAGTTACATCAGATTTAACTTGAAGGCTTTACATCCCTAACTCAGGCAGTTATCCTAGAATGGGGGGCCTACATTTTTGTCCGACTCTTCTTAAACATTGTGATTATTGACTGAAAATGTTTCAGCGTATCCAACTTCCATTTGCTGTCGCAACCCCTTCAAATCTTTTACACCTTCATCCCGAAGCCCGACCAATTTGTTTGGCCAATGGAGTCGCGGTTTTATAGCAAAAGTACTTAAAGCTGCATGAACCATCACTAGTTTCTTCGCTATAAAACCCTCTTCATTTGCGCGGCAGGGGTTAATGGAAGACGGCTATTCAATCATTATTAACGCCTCGGTTTGCAGGCTTAACAACGATTGAATGGGGCACTGTTTGGGTTAATATTTAACTTTGGGCTTAAATGAGAGAAAGCCCAAAAGAGTTCAATGAGAAGAGTTTTTGCTCGAAGCCCAGCACCAAGCCTAGGTATCCACTTCGAGACAACATGATGGCTCCCCATTAAATGCAAAGATTAGGTGCTTACAAAAGAAGTGACAACCAATGGAAATCCATCAACTCTCAGCCCAAAAGCACTTTATGAATGGCATAGCATGTAAAATATTGATGGTTCCCTACCCTCCAATTACTTTCGGGCAAGAACAGAAACAGCATAAATCAAGTTAATTCGTCTATAAAAGGAGGAAGAGGGCCAAAAGAAAAGGACACTCAACCAATCAAACAAACAAACATACAACTTGTCTCTCAGCCAAGCAAACACCCAGAAAGTTGTGCTTTGTCCAGACTCTGCACCCTTTTAGCCTTATATTTCCTTAGAAAGGCATTTTTTGTCTATGTAAAAGCTCTGCTACCTTTTCCTAAATGTTGTAGTGTCGATCTTTCTTGTATAAACTCTTTTCCAGTCATCCCTTATAGTACTCAATCCTTTTGAAACTACAAAGAAAAAAGACCACAAGACATTTAACCTTGCCCGACAAGGTAAAATCTTACCCGACCCTCTTTGTTTTGTCTTTCAATTAATAGATCTGGTGTTATAATGCATTCCCCAGTTTATATTCAAGTTGTTTCCAGTCTTTTGATGACTCAAACCCCCATTAGTTCTCAGATCTAGTTCACTTAATGATTTAATCGTCATAAGAAAATTGAAATCAGTTAAACTGATGACTTGATCAGATCTGGACCTTCATCCCTTAAACATACAAGATAACTAAAAATCCTTGATCTCAAGGCATAGAAAAGAACTTAATGTAGATTTAACTCATCTACAACAATCCTTTGATAAACAAGAAGTCAGAAATAACTTGGGGCGCAAGTAATCGGCTTAAAACACACTTGTTCTACATCTGCCTTATAGAGATGGCAGTGGCATGCCTAATCACTTAGTTGGTTTTGATTGCAAGCCTCAAGGCCTACACCTAAGGCCCCACAAAGGCGCCTTTTAGAACTAACTTTGTTCTTCTCTTGCAGCATCGTGACAAGCAGGAGCCCGACAATCAACCAAAGTGCTAACTCCTCGGGGAGCTGTGTGCTCGAGCCAGGATCGCTCACTAGCCAAATTTCTTGCCCGAACAGAAATATTTAATTTCTCTGCGTGTTGTCAAGGTGCAGGAAGCCAAGCTGGTAAACATTCTTGCCTTGCCTGCAATAGAATAGTGAGTTCAGATATTGTAACCTATCACATTGGTTGTCATTTTATGTTTCTTTGGTGCATACGGGGATAATTATGGAAGTCAGTAAAAGGGAAAAGCAGAAAGGAACATGCTGCTATAGTTTTCGGAATGGGTTTTGTCGCAAACTCTTTTATTATTCATGTCAAAAAGGGGAAGGTTTGCATCTTTACTTAAACAAATGCCTTCTAAATTTTGTTTTTCTTTACAAGTAGGCTTGATTGATTGTGATTCTTTGAACCACAACTTCATTGTCAATAGCGTAAGAGGAACTGGTGCTAGAGTTCGTGTTTTCGAAGTTCCAACACAGTGGTAAGTTAGTTAAAATCTCTCTCTATTTCTCTCCTATTGCATGTGGGTTTTCCCCTATTTCTCTTTTTGTTGATCTAATTTCGGGCAAAGTTGTTGAATTTTGGTTGAATTGGAATGTGGGTTGAATTGGTTTTCCTTTTGATGGTTTGTTGATAATTTGTAATATGAAGCTTGAAAGGTATTCGATTTGATTTTGGTTGGATTGGCATGTGGGTTACTTGGGTTTGTTTTAGAGTTTCTACGTTAAGTTCTTCAATTCCTTTATTTTTTTCACTTTGCCTTTTTTCTAACGATTCTTACGTATAATTTAGCAGTAAAAGACATGGTTTTGATTATTAAGCCCTCACTCACTCTCCACGAATGGATCTAGATGACATCTGAAGACGAATGCTAAATTCAATGTTGTTCAAGTGGGAATATTGGTGAATGCCTAAACTTTCCTACTTTAACGGATTCATCATTCTTATTTGGTAAATTTTTGTATTGAGCCCATTTCCTCTACTCCTGTTTTTCTAGGATTTTAGGCTTTTGTAAGTTAGGCATACTTCTAGTATAATTGGCATTACTTGCCAAATGGAAAGGGTCTGCAATCTGTCTGTCTTCCTTTTTGGTTTTGTGTGAGTTGAATTCAATATTTTCATTTTTCTCACCTTTTCTATTTCCGCGAGCTGAATATTTGGTAGAAGATGGAATTCTATGCGTTTGCCCCTATTGTGCACGTGTCGGTCGTCGAAGAAAGGGAAGGGGGAAAAATGTTTAGAGAGTTTTTCAAGAGCGTAAAAATGTTTAGCCGAAGAACCTCCGATGTCAAAGTTAGAATTTAGAGAGAAAAATGTTTAGAGAGTTTTTCAAGAGCGTTGGAAGTGCCTTTTGGAGAAGAAAATAGGGTTTTTATAGGAGAGGGTATAACTTATGGTTTAATGTGTGATATAATGGATTAATTAGGCAATTAATCCATTAATTGGTTAATCAACACATTTTAGGAATAAATATTTTGGGGGTTATGTGATTTATGTGAAATATTTTGTAAGTTATGGAATGATTACCTTGTAGAAAATATAGGATGAGGATGGATGAAATAATTTTGAATTTGTTATCTATTTTGGGCATTTTTTATTTGGTTGAAGAATGACTTGCGAATAGGAATCCCGTTGTACTTTAAGAGTATTTTTGCCCTCTTTTGTCCAAAAATCCACGTGTCGCCTTGTGATTATTTTTGGCTCGACATGTATGTAAGGACCACAACCATCCAAATTCTGCATTTTTCCAATAAATTATGAGAAAAATGAATTATGAGGAAATTATGGGAGATCGTGTCAGGCTTTGTTGGCCATGAAGTTCCCCATACAGGTGATTAATCATTTCCCAATCTTGTGCTCAATTTGGTTGATGAGAAAATGATTGAAAAAGATTTTATTTTATTTTATTTTATTTTTTTATTTTTTGGTTTGTGTATGGAGTATGGAGTATGGAGTATGGAGTATGGACTATGTATTAATTTATAATTTTTTGGGGATACAGAGGTCATTGCTGGCTGAGATTACTGTGAGTTCAACATTTGTTTTTCTTATGATTTCTAGGCTTTTAGATTAAAAATGTTAGCTTCAATATCTTGGTATATGATCGAATACAAGATTGGGTAATGACACCAATAGAATCTGGGTTTCTAGTAACTAACTCTTACTTCGTTCTTTATCATAGCATTATAGATTCAAATTGGATGTGGTGCTGTTGTCAGTTGAATTTTTTTTATATGTATAGATATAAAATATTTATTACCTGTGTAAAATATGATTGGATGATAATTCGGCGTTGGGTCGTTGTATATCATGCTTCTGTTGCTCATCACCGATGGGAACCCTATCACTCCGAGGGCATGAGACAGGTAATTTTTTTCATTCAGTTTTTATCTGGGTATTTTTTGTAGTTGCCATTGTGTGATGATCCAGGTAAAAAGTTTGATTTTTATTTTATTTTTACAGGCTATAGCTAATGTTGATGCTTTGCTGAAGAAGTATTGGGCTGACATTACGGTTATGGGTATGTTTACTGATGAAAATTGATCGCTCTGTTTTTATATTATTTTTTACAGTGTCAAAACCAGGCATTATATATAGAGTTTTTACCGCTCTAACAAGTTGTTGGTTATTTGCAGTTTTCAAGACTGGTGCTTCAAATTGTGCCTTCAGGATCAGCTTATGCAAAGTTTGTGAAATACCAAGGTCATTATTTCTGTGGCAGTATATCTAATTTATAAATTCATTCGCTTGCTGGCTTCTAGCCTATTTGAATTTTTATCATAAGTTCTGTGTTTACTTTTTTTTTTTCATTCGAGTAAACACAAGACCATATGATTTAAAATGCAAAGAGAGACGATGAACTGTTTTTGATATTTTATTTCTCTTGGTGGGTTTAGAATTGGGCCTTTTAAAGTTGGATTCATGAGTTTTGCTTAAGATATGATTTTTGGGTTATGAATGATCTGCCAATGAGAAAGTTTGCATTTTTTTTGCGCGGTTGGATTCATGGGTTTTGCTTAAGCTTTCAGGTAATGGCATTTCCAAAAAGTAAAATTTTGCATCTTTATTTAAGCTAAGAATTCAGCTTTTGGGTTGCCTTGAGATCAGGATTTATAGAAACGCTTTTCAGATTCTGGGAAGGTCTATTGGTTGGGCTGATGGCATGTCTAAAATTTCTGTTCTGTTATTAAGCTTTGTGATCGTGTATGTATTTGGTTTTTTTGTTTCTTCAAATTGTGTGATTAAGAGAGAACCTTTTGAAATTATGTGAAAATCTATATTCTGGATGAATGTAATTAGTTAAATTTGTAATGTTTAAGTTATGTTAGAAATCTAATTGCTGAAATTTGAGTATTTTTCTAAGTTAAGCATTTAGTTACTGAATTGCTTGAAATCAGTATTTAAAGAATTTTTTTGTAGAGCAGGTGTTTTAGCCCAATTTGCTAAAAAAAATGTTTATTTTGAAGTTAATTATGTATGAATTACTTGGAAATGTTCATATGAATTTGTTATAAACTTGAATAGAACTTATATCTGCATGTTGAATATGCCATTTGACAAAGTGGTATTGTGGTCAGATTCACTTCTCAATCATAAAAGTCGGATTTTAGATTAGGAATCTGACTAGAAAATAGGAAATGAATTAAGAAGTGTAATCAGAAAATAGTGAAAACAGAACCCAATAATTCCACTTCAGTTGGTATTTCTTAATGAAAGAAACTAATACAATAATTAAGGGTATGTTTGGGACCCGATTCTGTGCGGGTTAGAATTCTTTCCTTAAACTATAGGTACAAAAATGTTCGGGAGATCTACTAAGAAGAGGAAAGTGAGTGAAATGGGAATGACATCTACGTTGATGAGGATGACTACTGTGTAACGGGTCAATCTGAAATTTCATTTTTTAGCTAATGAATGAACTCTGATGAGTGAACTCGTAACATGAATGAACTCTTACATGACGAATATATCTAGAACCGATGTTATTATTACTTCTTCTTTCATTGTGTTTTTCGGTTCGAATAAGAAAGTAAGCCTAATGTGGATTTGAGTTTTATGTTAAATTAGTAGGCACCCAATCTCTTAATACTTAAAATGACGTAAAATTAGTTTCATTATTCGAATAAGAAAATTCTTTGACTTACCAATTACATATTTGTCAACTCAGGACTACATGTTACCTTATCTTCTGTCTCAAATAAATATTTGGGCCATGCAACAATTGGCAGTTTCGCAATGTTTCTGATTCTTTTATTGCATTTGCAGACGATAAACCATATTGAGAGTGAAGGAATCTCTTTCTTTTGAGCTGGTACATTGAGAGCGGAGGAATCTCTTTCTTGATACGTAATATGGAAATTCATGGACTTAAGAAAGATATTCCTCCACTCTTGCCAACTTGGTACGCAATATGGAAATTCATGGACTCTTTTGCTTGCCTCTTTTTATTTGTATTTGTTAATTACATGAGAAATTTTCAAACCCACCGCAGCGCGCTGACATGAATTCTTGTATATCCTATACCTATATTTTGTTTCTTATGAACATTACGATGTAAATAGATTTTGAGATAGATGTAGACAAATTTTAATATATTTCACACATTTAAAAGAGTTTTAAAACTTGTGACATTGTGCAGGCTCAATTGCTAGTACTTACATAGAAGTTCAATTGTCAATTTCAACTATGTACCATATATTGTACCTTGTATTGTGGAATTGTGGTTGAATACTGGGTGAACTCGATTTTTTATCTTTAATTATTTTTTAGATTGAAGTTAAAAACAAGGAGAGGCCTGAACCAGCAACAGACTCATCACTTCCACTTGCTTGCTCTGACTCGTCGCTTCCGCTTGCTTCCTCAAACGACTTATCGCTTCTGTAGGAAAAGTGATTTTCCTTAACAATTGAATGTACCCAAGTACAATATTTATACATGAATTGTCGTCATAACCATCCTTGACTACTTGCAACATAAATGACAAATGAATTACACAACGGAAAGTGGTTACAAAGAACTTATAACAAAATAAAGTACAAATAAATTGCATAACGGAAATTGGTTTCAAAAAACTCATTCAATAGATGATTAAGAGGGTAACTCCCTAACACTTCCCCGACAAACTTGATGCCTGTGAGTAGACAAGTTTGGAAATGAGCCAATGAAACCGATATGAAAGAAGTATATGCAAGAGCACGATATTCGGCCTCAGCACTAGAGCGGGAGATAGTACGTTGTTTCTTAGCACTCCAGGAAATGAGGTTAGGACCCAAGAAAACACAGTAGCCAATAGTGGATTGACAAGTGTCGAGACACCTTGCCCGATCGGCATCCCATTAAGCAACAAGAATAGACGAATCCGGAGAACATTGGAGAAAAGTTTTGCTCCAGACATACCCAAATAGCTTGGGATGTGGCAAGACCATCAATCTGAGAGAGAACAGGTTCCGTAAAAGTCACACGAAGTAAAGGTTTGAAGTGACCTTCCCATAGAAGGTAGTTGGTATCTGTTAGTTTGACAGAAACAAGGGTGGCAATGTTTGGAGTAGGAGGAAGAGAATAAGAGGAAGAAGCTGTTGCGTGAGTTGGTTTTAGAATAGGAATGTAAATATTGTGTAAATATTAGGTCGCACTTGGTGCGATGGCAAGTGCCTTCGCCCATGAGCGGTAGGTCTCGGGTTCGAGACTTGGGAGCAGCCTCTCCATAAATGGGGGTAAGGCTAGCCGACATTCACCTCTCCCAGACCCTGCGTAAAGCGGGAGCCTTGTGCACTGGGTACGACCTTTATTAGGAAGGATTTTTCTTATGTCCTTTTTTGGTTTATCTTGGAGAACAAGGATTGTATGTATTATATTCCCAATTATGCAATACATGAAAATTAAGCCGCAAAATTCTATTGAAGCAGCCATGAGGGAAAGCACTAGGGATTCCAAGATCGAAACTTAGGCAAGAAAAGATGATACCATGTAGAAAAGTGATTTTCCTTAACACTCAAATGTACATAGAGTACAATATTTATACATGAACTGTCCTCATAACCATCGTAGATTATTTATAACATAAACGACAAATGAATTACATAACGGAAAGTGGTTAAAAAGAACTTGTAACAAAATAAAGTACAAATAAATTGCAGAACAAAAAGTGGTTACAAAGAACTCAGACGATTAAGAGGGCAACTCCCTAGCAGCTTCCATTGCTTCAGAGCTTCCACTTTCGTCCTCTGACTCATCGCTTCCACTTGCTTACTCAGATTCATCCCTTCCACTTTCTTCATCAAGAGCCATCTCTTCCACTTGCTTCCTCAGATTAGTTGTTTCCACTGGCTTCAGGATCAACACTCCCACTTGCTGCAGACTTAACTTGTTATTGTCGCGAAATGACATCAAATTTTAATTTCTCAGCATCTTCGGCATATAACAGGCATATTCCACAATTTTCCACCGTATAGTTGTACTGGAAAGGTTTCGTTTCGAAGTGAACAGAGACCTCAGTGAAACGGCAGTAAAAATCCGATGACCATTTTACTCCCTCTTCATATTCAAGGTCTTTATACAATACGAACACGTGCTTTGAATCTAAATTGCAACCATCACCATTTCCACCCTTGCACGGGACAAAGACAGGACAATCGATTCCATGACTTTGACCCTCTTCAGTTTTGAAATTGTACTTGCACTCAAACTGCATACCTGGTTGATCTTGACGTCCGGATGCGACTTTTCCCGATTTATCTTGGTGTCCGGATGCCACAACAGATAGAGCGAATCCCAAGAAACCTTTTCGAAACCAGTTTGCTGGAAGCTTGACATTTATCGAAGCCCCCTTATTTTGATGTACGAACCAATTTGGAATTTCATATCCCGGACATACAATTGTAACTAAGGGCTCAGAAAACTTTTGCTGCAACATCAATTGACATCATGTTACTTAACACAGAGAGAGAGAGAGAGAGAGAGAGAGAAAGAGAGAGAGAGAGAGACATACGTAATCTTCCTTTTCTTTTAACTTTGAAGACGCAGTTGCCACTCGCATGATTCTAAGCTGTGCCTCAACCATTATGCTGCTTCTTGCATCAGCATCATTACCCAACCTTCCGCAATTATAAAAGAGAAGTTGCTCTTCAAGCAATTGATATCTATTCCAACATTGCGTAATTGCAGTCATTGAACTTGACACTGTCATCAGTGACTTGCACCCATCTGCTTGAAGACGACTTAGCACTGGGAGCTCTGGTAAAGATTCAAGGCTCGTGCACTCGATTAAGAAGAGGCAAGACAGCTGAGAAGCTTGTTTGATGGTTGAGGGTACGCTCCGAATTTTGGTTCCATTCAGATTAATACCCAATAATGATGTTAAGCAAATGAGATCCTCAGGGATTTGTAAAATTCCGCTTTCACCGAGGTCTAGTACTTCAAGAGAAAGCAAACCAACTGAGCCAGTCGGTTGAGGAAAATTTTGAAGTTTCCAACAGCCATTAAAGCTGAGAGTTTTAAGATTTCTTAAGTTGTAGATGCTACTTGGGACAACTTTGAGTTTCTCGCACCGACCAAGATCTAATGTTTGAAGGCCAACTAGATTTCCAACAGACTGGGGAAGCTCTTCAACTGCTGTCCCTTCTAAACGAAGAAACTTCAGGTGTTCCATTGGCTCCAATATTTCAGGGAATTTGTAAAATCTAGTGCAACCAGTGAGATCAAGTCCCTTTATGCCACTGCCGCTTAAACTTAAGAATTCAATGTTGCCTGGCATGTCTGGAAGATACTCGAGACTCTTGCACCACGAAAGATCAAGATAAGTAAGCTTGTCAAGATCTTTAAAATACGAAGGGATTTCAACCAAACTTTCACATCCGCAAAGATCTATGTGCTCAATATTTGGACTCTCCAAGAGGTTTGGAAGTGCAGTTAGACATTTGGAATAACGAAGTTTGATCACTTTTAAGTTCATAAGTTTCTGTAACAAATTAAAGAGAAACGGTAAGAATTAACAACTTAGTCTAAATAAGTTCTACACTACTAGTATCTTTCACAAAATCTATAATAAACACATATACCTGGCCTTCATTCCAAAGTTGTGTGACTTGGCTGCCCGGCATATGAAGCTCAACAAGATTTTCAGGAGAAAATTTTGGGGACAAAGATTTCAAAGGATATCCCTTCCAGGAAAGATAACGAAGAGAATTGGGAAGAGAGAGAGACAGGTTCAATTTGCAGTACTCTCTAGAACTGTCAGCATTTTGCCACATAGAATTATCAACATTGAGCAGTCTCAGATTATACATTTTTTTGAAGTCTGCACGATCCAAGTTTTTCTTTCCAGTGCTGGACTCGTTAAAGAATATGGCTTGAACCTTTTCCGTACCCTGATAATAAACAACAAAGCATAAATGTGAACACATTAACATGCAACAAAATTTAATCAAAACTACATTTGTAGGAATATGACTTATTTATTGTAATTGAGTTTTCTCTAGCTGTCTTCTCATAGGAAGTACACGGTGTCTTATTCATCTCTTTCTTTTCTTTATTGTTTAAAAGGAAAAGTGAATGCACTTGTGGCTCTTACCGTGTTTTTTTCCAATACATGATAGACATCCTCAGCAATGAACAACCTACTCCGTCTTCCAGGCTCTTCAATACATTGTTCGAGAACAATTGCCCTACCTGTTTCTTGTACCAAATCATGCATATCTATGGTTTTTTGTTCTGAATCAATCGATATGAGAGACCTATCACAGAGAACTCTAATTCCATCTGCCGCACAAAAATCACCATGCTTTTGGCCAAAATTTGCCATTTTTTTTACATATTCAATATGACACCCTTTATAAAAGCATGCTATATCAAGAAATATCTCCTGCTGATCTCTTTCTAATCTATTATAGCTTACTCTGAACGTATATTGAATTTCTGCATTGGGATAATTTTTCAGTTTTCTCAATACATCTTCGCACTCGTCTATGCTCTTACATGGAAAGAATAAGGAACCCAAAATTTCAAGAGCCAGTGGAATGCCTCCAGCATATTCTACCACCCTTTTTGACAAGTCTGTATACTCTTCTCTAGGAGAGTTATCATTGAAAGCATGAAGTTGAAAGAGTCGAAGAGCGTCATCAGTTTTTAATTTCTCAACCTCATATATATATTTTTCATCACTAACAGCTTTCAAGAGTACGCTCCTTTCTCTACTTGTTACAATGATTCTACTTCCATTGCCGTACAGAAGATTATCCGCAGCTACATCTTTTATTTGCCTTGGGTCAGTAACATCATCAAAAACAATGAGAACCTTTGTACGGCTGAGCCTTTCTCGAACAAAAGTCAAATCTACGGAGAGATTTTCTTCCTTTAAGATCTCTCTAAGAAGTGTCTTTTGCAATTGATCGATTCCATCTTTTTGCTCTGATTTCTCCCTAACATTGTAAAGAAAACAAGAAGCTTCGAAGTGAGAAGAGAGTCCCTTGAACAGAGCCTTGGCAAGGGTGGTCTTTCCAATACCTCCCATACCCCAAATGCCTACAGTGAGAACATTTACCGAACCATCAATGCTTAATAATGATTCAACTTGCTCGATGCGGCTTGTCATTCCAACCAAGCCCTTTAAATCATATGCGGCGGTTTCACGTTTCAATTTAGTTGAAATATCTTTCACAACTTCTTCAATGAAATCAGCATCCGTCCTGGAAAATATGAATATGAATGACAAGCAATATATAGTAAGAATTGTTTAAATCGGATAGTCATAAATAGAAATTAATTTTTACTAAAACCCAATTTAAAAACAATGTACACGCACAGTGTATTGACGTTTTTGCCTCTGTTTCACAGTTTAATTTTCTTTTTATTTTTCATTTTGCGCAGTAAAATTACTAATATGCCCTTTGGCCCCGCTGGTTATCGATTTTGCCGACGTGTGGGTCATCTGATATTGCTTTCTTCCAGTGTCGCTTCCGAGATTTTTCAGCATAACCGGTATATGGTACCACGTTTTATTATATAAATTGTGAAATATATGTGATAAAAAGTTAATAACTTAAAAAATTCATAATTAAAAATTTCTCTTGACATCAATGTCTCTTATTTTTGTTCCCTTTTATGTGCCATGGAACCAATTTCAAAACCAAGATTGAGATTAGAAGAATGAGGAATTAGCATGAATATAAGCCGATTCAGTAGCAGCAGCGAAAGCAGTGAAATTTTCAACTGTAGATCAAGATTCGTTCATGAAGGAAGGAGATTTAGTCCTTCTGTATGCGAACAAGGTAAAACCCACCACTCCACCCTGCTCAATCTCAAAGTTTCATGCATTCTTAGCTCAATTCAGCTTTTGGGTCTGTTCATTTCGCTATTAATTGTTCTAGATCTGGGCTAATTCGCACATCCATTTGTTTGTTTACCGAAAAAAGTCATATGAATTACAAGTTTGAACTTATACCTATTAACTTGGTTATCACTAAGGCGCTTCTAGAGGAGGCATTGAAGCTTGCAGATGATGAGGAATCAGGGGATGAGGAGGAAATGGTTAAGGCGGAGGACGAAAGGCGTTGTCTGTTGGGTTTAATTGGTGTCCCGACTCCCGGAAAGTCTGCACTCACTAATTATATAGTCTGTTCTTTTGAATTTTGTGGTTTAAGGGTATTTAATTTGATGGTGTTTTTGATGAATTGTTGAATATGGCGTTGGTTTAGTTAATGATTTTATTGGGTATGGTTTACGGTTTTGCTATTAAGTATTGGGTAGTTTTTTCATTTGAATAACAGTTTGATTGATGGTGTGGCGATTCATTTCTCAAAAAAAAAACAAAGATGATTGGTTTTCAGTAAGGTATACACAAGGGCTATAGGATTAGTATAAGGGAGTTTTAACGAAACACTTCTGACACTGTTTGTTATAGGATTAGTATAAGGTGTCAAGGGCTATAGGATTAGTATAATGAAGCATTGGAGGGGAAAAAAATAGGGTAAACTGTTTTTTTTCATTTGAATAACAGTTTGCTTGATGATGTGGCGATTCATTTCCCAAAAAAAAAAGATGATTTTGTATGGGGTATACACAATGTCTATAGTACTAGTATAATGAAGCATTGGAGGGAAACAAAGTGTAAATTTTTCTTGGTGTATAAGATAATTTGATGAATCGGTCATGGTTTAGAATTTTATCAAATAGCATTATATTTGTATTGACCATGGATAAGTTACATCAGAATTTTATCAAATAGTATTATATTTGCATTGACTATGGATAAGTTACAATCTGCCTAATTTCCCTGAAAGCAATATTTTCATGGTCACTGCACTTTGGTCAGATAGATATCAAAATAGTTGTTTGCTTGAGCTGCTTGGCAGAAGCTTTCCAGGTCTCTCAGCTCCTTTTCAGGTGGAGAAAGATGAGTTTTTGTTAGGTGTTTTGAGTGTTAAGCACGAGTAATGTGTTCTGTCCTAACAAAAGCTTTCTTTGGAGGGAAAGAAATGAAAAAGGTTTTGAGACTCCCATATTTGAGATATGTATTGGTTTGGAAGATTATGCTTTGTTCGTAAATTTGAATCTTTTAAGCACTTTGTTGGATACAAATGGTTGTAGCAATATTTTCAAAATATTTACCATATTAGTGGATTTTATATTTTATCCAACTTTTGTTGTAACCCACAACATCGCGCGGTACCCTGCTAGTTAAAGTCTATCTAATCAATATCCATTCCTATAAAAATAAAAAAATAAAAATTGAAAAGAAATAGTCACAAATAGAAATTGACACCAAGTTGCAAAGTACGTTACCCTTTTTTGTTTGAAAAATCAAACCCAGATAAACCGGTTGCTTCCGCCAAAGCAGCTTTCCAACCGATCACCTTATCCTTGGAGTCCTCACGATTTTCAAGTTGAGCAAATGCATCTGCATAACTCCCCTTTTGTTTTCGCACATCTGATGGACTGATGTCGTAAAAAATGGGTACAACCATCTGGTCTTTTTTCTTGCATTTGAGTATATGCACAAGTTCCTTCAAGCACCATGTGGAAGACGCATAGTTTTTGGAGAAAATGATCACCGAAAGCCTTGATTTCTCTATTGCTTCTAGTAGGGCGGGTTCAATTTCGTCTCCTTTATTCAGCCTGTAGTCTATGTAGGTTTCGATTTTCTTCCTTTCCAAAGCTTTATGAAGATGGCTGGTAAAAGTAAGGCGGGTGTCCTCACCTCTGAAACTAATAAACACATCATACTTTTCTCGACGAGGGGGCTTATCAACACCATCATCGTTATCATCAACAGCAGCATCAGCAGCACCAGAAGAAGAAGTCGAGGAAGAAAACGTCAATGATCTGCAGTACATGTACAACAGAGTCCCGATGGCGATGACGACGATGTTGAAAACTTGAAAGAACCCAATCAACTCCATCCCTCTATCTGTTAGAGAAGAGAATGAAGCAATCGAAGCGAGAGTATTTGATTACAGAGAGCAGAAAGAGAATCTGAAATACTCTTGCATTTGAGACTAGATCAGATTTAGTACAGAAAAATTGAAATTGTACCAGTTCTTGTTGAGTATGTGCATAAAGTTACAAACACACCAGCTGAGGACAAAAATTAAAAATTTGGAGAGACAGAGACTAGTCACCTAACAAGTATTTGATAATGCTACTACATTAAAATTTTCTTTCAAATTAAAAGAAAAAAATCATCAAAGATCAAACAAAAAAACCATAAAAAATAAAAAGACAAAATTGCTCAAGCATATTCGGCGTTGAAATTGTTTGCATTCAAACGGAAGAAAAGGTAACAATATATCCTAGTTGAGGGCTTTAACAAATAAAGGTGAAATTAAGAATGAATATCCCACCTCCTCCTCTATGCGAGGAAGTGCCCTGAGGGTGCTACCGGACAACTTCTACTCTATACAAACAAATCAAAACTAAATTCAAATGTTAAATTCAGTAATATGTGCCAAATCAAATTTGGCCGATAATTAACATAATACTAGATAGTAATGTTCGTGCGTTGCTGCAAGATTAAAAATTATTTAGATAATTATGTTTGAAAAATCATCAAAGTTGAATCTAGTGTAATGAGTACATGGATAACCTTTGAATAGTGTTTAAAGTTTAACGAATAAATGCATTGATAACTTTGTAAAAGTGCTTAAATTGTAGGGTAATAGATTTTGAATTTAGGTTTGATAAAGGCAAAAAATGGTAGAAGAGGAAAGTCAAATTTCCAATCAATTGTGTAAAAGCATTAGAGACAGAGTATAGGTAGATATTGAATATATTGATCTGCAACTAATTGATTATGTAAACAAAGTGATTGCAGGATTGAAATAATAGTTTAATATCTTAAAATAAAAGTGACTGTAGATGAAATTAATAAATTGCAACGATTAGAGAATTTTGAATATAACTGGCTCTACACACTCTTTTTGGTTGGTGACCATAATTGACAAAGAGATTATATTCATTGTCATTGTTTTGTTTCTGCTTTACAACATCGTTTGTTAATGCATTTATAGATCTTTTAGACATATTGCAAAAAAATTGTATGACCAATTGAAAAACAAACAACTGCAAACAAATTGGGAAAAAGGAAAAAATTAACAAAGATGCAACACACATATTAAAACAACACATATAACATTAAATGCAAACAAACTACTGAAATTAAAATTTCAATTTGATATAATAAAACCTAAACAAAATATGAAACTTTCTTCTAATTGTAAAAAATAAAATTAAACCAGATGGTATAAATTTGAACTCAATAATTTTAGAAGTTTAAATCACTTACCTTTTGTGTAGAGAATCTTGCAACGCAAACAAAACCAACTTGATGTTAAATAATGCCACGTTCTCAAACCCAATGAAAAACCAACATAAATATTATTGAACAATAAATTTATTAAACTATGAAGTAACAAAATTGTTAACTACCACCAAAGGTGTTTTAACCAATAAAGGAAAAGAAAAAAAAAGCTGAACCACACTACAAAATACATAAACGGAAATACAAATTTAACATGGAATGACATTTGATATACCAAACAAAATTTGAAGAATGATACAAATACCAAGACACATTTATATATATTTATAAACAATTATCAATATAATTAAAAAAAATCTAAATTCTAAATTTGACATTACTTGTCAGCTCACCCTTTTTTTTCTTTCCAATTTCAGCAAAGGCACTTTGTAGCTTATATAAATTGTTGTGGCACTAATCTGCAATAGAAAACGAAGTCATAAATAAGATGTACAAAACAATAACACTATAACAATATTTTTTTTTCATTCAAAACAATGGCAACACACACACACACATATCTATATAAACATTTATCAAAATGATTAACAGAAATTTGTAAATTCCAAACTTAAAGCTACTTAGCAGCCGGACTCACCTTTTTTTTTTTTTCAATCTTAGCAAGAGCACTCTGTAGCTATATAAATTACTTTGACAATGATCTGCAATAGAAAATATAGTTACAAATCAGATACCCAAGGGACCAATATTACAATGATTTTTTTTTTTCATTCAAAGCACTAATAACTGAGAAAGCTCAAATTCTAAGAAACATTAAAAAAAAAGGAAAACTAATGAAAAGGGCTTGAAAACTTTGAGTTTTAATGATAAGGACAAAATAAAGGGTAAAGTGAATAGTACCAGGATTGACTTTTTAGTGTAAAAATGTGGTTTTTCGTTAAAGTGAACAGTACCAGGTGCTTTTCGTTAAAGTTCCCTAAAAAATTACAAAGCGCACTCACTTTAAAATAAGAAATCACTATCTAGGCACATAATTTTTCTTCCTCTTTATTCTTAAGCTCTGTTTCTAAGAAAGATTAAAAAAAATTACAAAGAACACACACTTTAAATTAACAAATCTCTATCCAAGCACATAATTTATGTTCCTCTTTATTTTTCCCCCTTCTTTTAACCAAATATTTTTTTTAATATAACTAAATATAAATCCCAAATCGTAATCATCATACGGACTTCACTCAGCTACCTAAATGACTATTTTCCTAAGCATACACACATATACATGTAAATACCAGGGCATTCTTATACAAAAATTTTATTCATAAAACACACTCCATTTTTTATCCAACACAATATACATCTTAAATTATAATCTAAATGTAGCTGAATTTTATTATGTAATTAAAAAATAGGAACAAAGAGAAAGCGTTATATACATCATCCTTGACTTTGTAACCATGATAGACAAACTTGCTTTACAACAATGAGTGTCTATACTATTATCTACATCATCCTTGACTTTGTAACCACAATTTAAGCATTCATAGTTATGGCTACATCGTAGCCCTATCTAAAGAAAATTAGTTCTGATACATATACATCGAAAAAGCCATCAAAATCGCCTAAATTCGCTATTTTTTATTACCAGAGCTCAAGTATACTGAATTCCACAAAACCCCAGCATCAGTAAACACCAAGCCCTGAAAATTCAAAAGCAACAAGAAATGAACCCAAATTAGACCAATAAACACTCAAAAGTTTTACAATATTTTAGCTTTAACTAACCCCAAATTTGAAAACAAATTATGGAAACAACACAGGAAGCAAAACCCAATTCATCATCTCTCTACCAAAAGATGCAGAAACAGGTGTACCAAGCAGCAATTTAACTAATGAAAACAAGCATATTCAATATTCACAAAATACAAACTAGAACAAACACATATCAAGCTCAAAAAACTGACTTGATCCAATTGAGTTGACCCAAGTCTCCCAAAACATACAAAAATCCACCTAAAAGTTCAAAGCTATGGGAAAATTTCAAAATACTCACCTGAGATATTCCCTTGCAGAAAACACAGATGAATCAAAGATTCTCCCACAGCAAAGCTTCCTTCTTTTTCCACAAAGACAAAGACTTTTCCGGTCAACCAAAAAACAAGTGCAACATGCGATTTATATAAAAATACTTGCCCAATAATTTTTTCTGGGAAAATTGTATAAAGGTGTGTGAATGGAATGGATTTTTGCAGAAAAAAACGTTTGGATGTGATTGGAGAAGAAAAGACAGAAAAAGAGAGAGGGCGACGGGTCAAAGAAGGCAGGCGATTTTTGTCCAATTTAGGCTTTCTCGCCAGATAGCTCGTTTTAACCTTCTGTCCCTCCAAGAAATGAAAATTTTAATTAACAGTGCAGGGTCATATTTGCTTCCATCTCCGAGGACCAAAGGATCATAGGGCTCGTTTTAGCCATATCATAAAAAACCATCTCCAAACTAGGACCAAAAGGTCATAGGGCCAAACATAATTTATTATTTAAAAACTACAACTTAAATTCAAATCCAACGGCTAAGTAACGTTAGTTAGCTGTTGGTAGCTGACGTCACGCCATTGGATTTGAATTTTTTTTTGTTATAAATAGGGTGGATATTGGGCTATAATTCACACAACTTTGAATTCAATCTATTTCAATTCAAGTTTACAATGAATTCCAACTTTGGATCCACTTCAGATTCCAACTGGGGGTCCTCATCCAATTCCAAATTGGAAGAAAAATGGGAGCAAATGAGACGAGAAGATGAGGAGTCTGATGAAGAAGTTCAAGCAAGGTGCAACAAACAAAACAGAGCAGCAGCCATGATTGCGGCCATGGTGTGTCAACCAACTGAGGAACAACCTCAATGGGATGGCTCTATTGCTGGTTGCTATTACAAACCACGACACAGAGCGATGATGCATGCCAATTTGATGAACAACTACTTCAAACCCAAATCGGTGTACACAGAAGAGGATTTCAGACATCGTTTCAGGATAAGGCATCATGTCTTCGAGCGTTTACTTCGTGATGTCTAGCCGGTCAATCCATATTTTTGACAGAAGCGGGATAGAGCAGGCCGCCCTGATTTTTCACCTCATCATAAGGTTATTGTTGCACTTCGAATGATGGCTTATGGCTCCCCAGCTGATTCGATGGATGAAACTCATGGTATGTCTGAGTCTACATGCCTTGATTCTTTTGAACAATTATGTGACATAATTGTTCAGGTTTACAAAGACGAGTACCTCTGCTAGCCAAATCAAGAAGATTTGAATCGGCTCCTTTGCAAAGCTGAAGACCGTGGTTTTCTGGGCATGATATGGTCATTAGACTGTATACATTGGGATTGGAAGAATTATCCCACCGGATGGTAAGGAGGCTTTAGCGGAAGGTTGAGAAAGCCAACTGTTGTGTTAGAGACGGTTGTCTCATATGACACATGAATCTGACATGCTTTCTTTGGAGTCCTTGGATCCCAAAATGACATTACAGTTTTTGGGCATTCAACCCTCTTCAATCACCTGACGGAAGGTAAAACACCTTAACTTGACTACTACATCAATGGCCGTCAATACAATATGAGGTATTACTTGGCATATGACATCTACCCAAAGTGGGCGACACTAGCCCAAACAATTCCAAACCTTAGGAATGATGCGGAAAAGTTGTTTACCTTACACCAATAGGCATACCGGAAAGATGTTGAGAGAGTTTTTGGTATTCTACAAGCACGGTGGAAGATCATCAGCGAACCGGTAAAAGGGTGGAGTCGAGAAAATTTAGACTCCATCATGATGTTTTGCATCATATTACACAATATGATGGTGGAGGATGAGCGAGATGAGTATATTGATGGAAAGTCTGATGACGACCAAGAAGATCCAAATAGGTCAATAAGGGCTCATGCAAAAATATATGATGGGCCTAATTTGCCCTTCAATCCAAGAATTGGTAGTATCTCTATAAATGAGTACATGAGGCGCTATAGAATGATACGTTCTTGTGCCATAAACAAGTACCTACAACATGATCTTGTTGCACATCTTTGGGCCAAAAGAAGCATGGAGTAGGCGTTTAAGTTTTATGTTGTTAAATGTTTTTAAAAATGTTGTTTAAGTTTATGTTGTTAAATATTTTTTTATGTTGTATAATTTTTATGTTCGTTAATGTTTTTTAATATTGTTTCATATTATTTAATTTGTTTTATGTTACTTAATTTAATTTAATGTTGTATAATGGCTTAGGAAGTTATAGGAAAAAAATAGAATTTCTATAAAATATGAAACAAATTTTGTAAAATAGAGTTATAGGGAAAAAAGTAGAATTTAAAAAAAATTATGAAACAAATTTTGTAAAATAGAAGTTATAGGAAAAAAAATGGAATTTAAAAAAAATAAGAAACAAATTTTGTAAAATAGAAGTTATAAGAAGTTATAGAAAAAAATAGAAGTTATAGGAAAAAAAATTTGTAAATAAAAAAAATAAATAAAACTGTAAAAATAAAATAAAATAAAAAATTCAAAAATCCGTTGGATTCAAAAATTTGTTTAAGAATTCATGTCGGATATAACCGACATGATTAATAACAATGCTATTGGTTATATCCGGCAACAATTCTTAAATTTCTGGCCAGTTCAAGGCTGGCTGGTTGGCTGGATTGGGCCAACCCTTTGGCCCTTTCAAATTCTGTAGGACCCACAAGCCCTCTGGCCTAGCCTTCAGTTGGAGATGATTTTGGACTATTTTTGACCGACCCTCTGAATCCTTCAGTTGGAGATAACCTTAGCGATGACTTGAGGACTGCAATTTAGTGCTATTGGCTCAATAGACTCTTGACCTTGAAAGAGTGCTTGACTGGCTTTTTCTTGGTTTCTTTTTACACGAAATGGGAAAGTTTTTTTTTATTATTTTTACTGTTAAAAGTGTGTTTCTATTGGTCTATAAATAGTTACCACTCCGAAAAGCTTCGGTCTTTTCTGTGCTTTTGTGTTCAACAACTCCTCTTTTTTTTTTTTTTTTACTCAATGATAAAACTATAAACGGTTTTGATCAAAATAGAGAGATTTTTCAATATGACGATCATTCGATGATATGTTATCTCATTGAGTTATGGGTTAAACAAATTTACATGAGTATTTTTTTTTTCATATTTAGTGAATTTAAGCACAATTGTGATTTACTAGAATTTATGACTAAAAGTGTCACTATCATGCAGACGTTAATCTTGTATCGTAAAAGACAAATGGTATACATTAACAAATAAATAGAGGTGTTATAAAATGAGTGGATCAATAAAGGCACATGTCAAAGTGGTGATGACAACGAAAAATTACTCATTTGGCTCTTACAAGAGAAATGCTAAGAATACTCGAAAAGATGATACTCTCTAAGAACTCTCCGTTATCTCATAGTTTAATGTCAATTCTCGTGCCAACATTATAAAACATTGTGAAAAAAATATGGGGTGAAACCAAAAATGAAAATTAAAAGAAAAATCTGTCCAAAGCGCCTGAGAAATAGAATTTGAACTATAGTTGCACTTGAGACTAGATCAGATTTTATTAAAGAAAAATTGAAATCGTACTACTACTTATTGATTACGTGCACAAAGTTATAAAACAAAAAGTGAAAATTAAAAGGAAAATCTGTCCAAAGCACTTTCTATAAAAGCATCTTTCATAAAGCATCTTTCTATAAAGCAGCTTTCAATAAAGCATCTTTCTAATAAAGCAGCTTTCAATAAGCATCCAAAGCATTTTCTATAAAGCATCTTTTAATAAAGTATGTGCACAAACGACGATCCAGACAAATTACCCAAAAAAACCAAAAAAAATGTAAAGGCAAAATTGCTAAGCACTTTTGATGCAAAAATTGTGCATTCAAACGGAAAGAAAATATTATCATTTAATACTACAATCTAATGATATTCTTTTTTATTTGTAAATGAAATGTTTTAAGTTTGATACTTGCTAAAGGTGAATTTGAACTGTATTATTGTTAGTCTATTGTGAGGTTAAGTCCATATTTTCCTATTTAGTATAAATAATATTGTTTGTTAAAAAAAAAAATGTTATGGATATCCTAATGGCTAGTGGAGGACTTTAAGAATGAAAGGTGATCGAAGATAATCATCAAAGATTAGACAAAAAAAAAAACCATAAAAAATGTAAAGGAGAAATTGCTCAATCACTTTCGGCCTGGTGGAGACTTAAAAGACTAAGAAAAGGTGAAATTACGAATGAATCCCAGCTAATCCTCCGGAGGCGAGGAAGTTCCTAGTGCTGGTGGACGACGACTTCGACTCTATACAACAATGTTAATTATACATCGCTTTTTTAAAGCAGATCACGTACACATCTATATTCAATTGTTAAATTCAACAATAAGTGTTATACATTCATGTTATTCCAACAGCAAATATTCAACATAGTTAATTTGCAATAATCAAATTTAATGGTCATATTCTAGCAAGACAACATTTTATACATATAGTAGCCTCTTACTACATGCTCACACGTATGACAATTGACTGTTATTATTATTTTACTTTTTTCTTTATTTTACTTATTTAAGATATTTTTTATTAAAATAGATTAAAAATAGGGAAGTGTTATTAGTACTTCAAAAATCACATTCTACACTCCTCACAAGTGTATTTTTTTCTTCCAAATTTAGAAAGTTTGGAGTGTAGAATGAAATTTTTGGAGTGCCAATAATAATTTCCTAAAAATAATGAACTTACTAACTACCTTACATGAGTTTTTCAAAACGATATAAACTTTGATTAAATTCGAATCAAAACATTTACATCAAATGCCAGAGTGTTGAACAACCACGCCGGTTCAACAACCACTCCGGATCAAACCCATTCCAACTATGAATGCCACCTTCCTTAAGCACAAAAAATGTCACTAAATGCGTTGTCCTATTACAAACACGGAGAGCAAAATAAATTATAATGACCTCAATTGTTGTTGTAATCATCTAATATCAAATAGGATACCTTCAATCATTACCTCCGATTGCAAAGTACCATTAATCATCCCCATAAGACTTTTTGAGTCAGATTTGACCTAAAATTCCAAAAATCCTTTCTCCACAGAACCTACAAGGGCCGCCCTAACCGCATCCGGTTTTTCCGTCAAACTAGATGCGCAAGGGTAATTTGCAATCCCACCAGTTGCATGGAAAATTTTGGCTAGGTCCCGTGCCACCCAGCCAAAACCACCTTTTACCTTCCTTCATGCACCATGACAATTTATCTTAATAATATCGATATGATGAAAGTTTCACCATTTTTATCTTCTCTTTATATATAGATTATTATTAGGAAAAAAAAGAGGGCACAATTCACAATGCAAAGTGGTGATAACAACGAAAAATTACTCATTTGGCGCTTACAATAGAAATGTTAAGATACTCTAAAAAATGATACTTTTAAGAACTCTTCGTCACCTCACAGTTTAACGTTAATTCTCGTGCTAATATTATAAAACATTGTGCTAAAAATATGGGATGGAACTAAAAATGAATATTAAAAGAAAAGTCTGTCCAAAGCACCTGATAAATAGAATCTGAACTATAGTTGCACTTGAGACTAGATCAGATTTTATTAAAGAAAAATTGAAATCGTGCTACGTGCACAAAGTTACAAACGCTCCAGGAACCAAAAGTAAAAATTAAAAGAAAAATCTGTCCAAATCATTTTCTATAAAGCATCTTTCTATAAAGCGTCTTTTAATAAAAAGTGAAAATTGAAAGAAAAATTTGTCCAAAGCACTTTCTATAAAGCATCTTTTAATAAAGTATGTGCACAAACGACGATCCAGACAAATTACCCAAAAAAAACCAAAAATATATAAAGACGAAATAATAAAAAATTAAAATTAAAAGATAAGTCCAAAGCACTTTCTATAAAGCATCTTTTAATAAAGTATGTGAACAAACGACGATCCAGACAAATTACCCAAAAAAAAACCAAAAAAATATAAAGGCGAAATTGCTAAGCACTTTTGGTGCAGAAACTGTGCATTCAAACGGAAAGAAAATATTGTCACTTAGTATTATAGTTTAGTGATATTCTTTTTCACTTGAAGTGAGAGGTTTTAAGTTCGATACTTACCAAAGACAAATTTGAACTGCATTATTGTTAGCCTATTGTGAGATTAAGCTCACCCCTTCATTCTTAGTGTAAATGATATCGTTTGTTAAAAAAAAAAGGTTATAATAATAGAAACTTTAACGAAAAGCTTCCGGTACTATTCATTTTATTTTAACGAAAAACCACATATTTACACTAAAAAATCAATCATGGTACTATTCACTTTACCCTTTATTTTGTTCTTATCGTTATTATTATTTTACTTTTTTCTTTATTTTACATATTTAAGATTTTATTATTTTTTATTAAAATAGATTAAAAATAGGGAAGTGTATTTTTTTTTTCTACAAGTGTTTTTTTTTCTTTCTTCCAAATATAGAATGTTTGGAGTGTAAAATGAGATTTTTGAAGTGCCAATAACAATTCCCTAAAAATAATGAACTTACTAACTACCTTACATGAGTTTTTCAAAACGATATAAACTTTGATTAAATTCGAATTGAAAACATTTACATCAGATGCCAGAGTGTTGAACAACCACTCTGGTTCAACAGCCACTCCGGATCAAACCCATTCCAACTATGAATGTCACATTCCTTAAGTACAAAAGATGTTACTAGATGCACTACCCTATTACTAACACGGAGAGCAAAATAAAATTCTGATGACCTCAATTGTTGTTGTAATCATCTAATATCAAATAGGATACCTTCAATCATTACCCCCGATTGCAAAGTACCATTAATCATCCCCATAAGAATTTTTGAGTCAGAGTTGACCTATACATCCAAAAATCCTTTCTCCACGGTAGCTGTAAGGGCCGCCCTGACTGCATCCGCCTTTTCCATCAAACTAGATGTGCAAGGGTAATTTCCAATCCCACCAGTTGCACGGAAAATTCTGGCAAAGTCCCTTGCCACCCACCCAAAACCACCTTTTACCTTCCTCCATGCACCATCACAATTTATCTTAATAATTTCGATACGATGAAAGTGATAGAGCAATATTAATAAATATAAGAAATATAAAAGAATTCCAATAATAATAATAATCATAAAGAAACTTCACAATATCAATTTATGTATGAGATTAATATAAACAACTAGAGATAAAGTTAGAAAAACTGAAAAACTTGAAGATTGAGGCCTTCATAAATGCAATGTCCTAAAGATATAATTTCGCCCATACTCTTGTGCTTGTAGTTTGGTAGGCATTCATCTCCTAGGATTCAACAATCTATAATCCGAAATCAAAGCACTTCAATCTTCGGACTCTGGCGAAATTTATATATTCCGTACTCTTAAGACATGACTCGGAATTTGACACACGAATCATTTGAGAAACGAAGTGGGGAAACCTTATTTCTCAAGAGTAAAAATTAACTCTAATTTTCTATATTTAATAGCAATGGTTTCATGGGTTTATATAAAATCTAATTTCTACTTATTAAAGAGATGTAACTTTTCATCTATAAGTATAGATCACTTATCAAGGGAATACACCTAAACAACATAACCTTTCTAAGAAATTAGTTAACACTATTTTTCATTCAATTATTAAAATTATATATTACAATATTTTATACTATAATATATAATTTCCAACAGAAAGTTTCACTATTTTTATCTTCTCTTCATATATAGATTATTATCAGAAAACAAAAACAGAAAGAAAGAAAGGGCACAATTAACAATGCAAAGGACCTTGAATGTCGGCCCAAAGTGACCTTGAATGTTGGCAGGGTCGGGTCGGGTCGGAAGACAGAAATGCACTGTGACACGTGGCAGAAAACACTAATCCACTTTGGAGAACGATTTGGCAACACTGAGCTCCATCGTTCCAGCTCTCTCTCTCCCTTTCCCTCTGTGAAATGAAAAAGTGTAAGGTCAGTGACAGACTGAGAGAAAGCTTGAAAATGGCAATAGCATGAAGGCTTCCTACCCAACTGACAACACCCGGAAGGCACCATCACTATGACTCCAAAACGCTGTCGTTCCAAGTTTTACTCTCATGGTGCCGGACTTTGGCTCCAGACCATCTTCTTCCTTCCTCATCTTCTTCCACCTCGACCGCCATTGGTTCGTCTCCTCCTCATTTCAACATGAACGCCTACATTTTTCCACTTTTTAACTCAAAATTGAAATGAACCCATTTTTTTACTTACAAATTTGAAAAGAACTCATTATTTATTTTCAAATTTGAGAAAACCTTTTTTTTTTTCTTCTGTGTGCAGGGACCAATACACACCGTTTCATGAAATATAAGGCCAGGGCGGGACCTGGGGCTGTCGATGTTGCTACGGGCCACCCGTCAGACCTACCAGAATACTGGTGGTTGGCGCCACCGGGACTCTGGGGGAGGCAGATTGTGAGGAGAACACTTGACGAAGGATATGATGTTAGACCAACTCTAACCCTTTGAATAAGTCTCAACTTACCTTCCATTTTCCCATTTCATTCCAACTCTTAGGCTAAAATAAGGTTACGTGTTAAAGAGCGGGCGTCAAAGCCCAAACACCAAGAAACGACTCACAGACGCACTGGCACCGCGCCAGGCACTGCAGCTGCCCGACCCCACCCAAGTGACTTGTCGTTCACTTGTTTGATGCAATAATGAGCCCAACGGCTACTTTTTTTTATCCTACGGTCACGATTTAAATAGGGCCTTAGTTGATCCAACGGTGTAAGTTTATATTTCTTTTTTTTTAAATTTTATATTTATAAATTTATTGAACACAACGGCGGAAATCGAATATGATCAAATCTAACAATAAAAAAAAGATCTAACGACCTAAATTTAAATCCAACAGTTAATGAGCCTAACGGCTACTTTTTTTTTATCCTACGGTCACGATTTAAATGGGCCCTTAGTTGATCAAACGGTCTAGGTTTATATATATATATTTTTTTAATTTTATATTTATAAATTTATTGAATCCAACGGTCCAGGTTTATATTTCTTTTTTTTTAATTTTATATTTATAAATTTATTGAATACAACAGCTGAAATCGAATATGATCAAATCTAACAATAAAAAAAAGATCTAACGACCTAAATTTAAATTCAACAGCTAAAATTAAAAAAAAAATTATTTAAGTCAAAGTTCATCAAAAAACTCTATAAATACCTATGTATTTGTTCAAACATCCACACAAAACTCACTTTTCTCCTACAATTTATCCAACTTTTCTTTTTATCATCTTCCAAAACCATTTATTCCCATTTCCAAAATTTTCAAGATGATAGAAGATCATATTAGAGGTCGTAATTGGTCATTTGAGGAAAATGTTGCTTTGTGTTTGGCATGAGTTTCTATTAGCGAAGATGGTTCTGTTTGCACGAATCAAAATAGAATCAAAATAAAAAAGTTTTGTGGGCTAAAGTGGTTAATAAGTTCAATGAAAACTCTAATGCCAACCAAAGGAAATTTGTTAGTAGTGTATGCGATCGGTGGAAGGTTATCAATAAAACATGCACTTTATGGAAAGGAAGCATGAAGATAGCCGTGATCCACATGGCTAGTGGAAGGAGCACCACAAGTGATGAGTTTCTTTGTTGATAGTTTATGTGTCAAGTACATAATCTTATTTTGCAACTAATTACCACAAAATCAAAACTTTTAAGTTGCATCATGTTTCGGTTTAATAATTTTTTATTATCATCAATTGCGCCACGGAACGTCCAGAAGAGCCCATCAAAAAGCTGAGTTCCTGTGTATTATTAATTTATTAGTTTTCTGTAATCAGCCTAGAAATTAATTCCCAATTGTTGAAGCTATCACGGGAAATAAGAATGAGCAGTTCATTCCTTATATGATCAGTTCGTGCATTACAAATGTAGGTCAAAGAATATCGTTGTCTAGTTTTGTTTCCGACTTGCGTTACAGTATTCGGGCATTGTCATAAGAATGAATGAGCAGTTCATTCGTTATAGGTTCAGTGAAGAAATTGGAATAAATTAGAAAAGGTCTGTGTATTGTTCAACCTTTTGAAAAGTGCTCCGGTGAATTTATAGATTTGTTTATCCATCTTAAGGCCTTCAGAGATTATTTACTATGTTGCAGTAAACACTACAGGACTAATGTGTCCTGCATGCATTTTTGGTCTTGTCTAACCATTTTTTTAAAATTTTTTGTTTAGGTAGATTGGGAAGGAAAAGTTGCTCTTAAACAATGTGCAAAAGCAATGTAAATCCAAAAATTTATATTCCATTCCATCCACAGCTGTGACAAGCATCCTGAAGTTCCACTTATGGAGATCAAGTATTTCACTGAAAAGTTTCTCCAAGATTCACTTAAACTTCCTTTCTATCGTATTACTGGCATATCCAGATTTGTTCTTCACTGTCAGCTTGATGTTTCAAACTAATTTCCGTATCTTCTTATTATATTCTCATATAGCACTCCTCCATCCGCCATTCACTTTCTTTATCAGAAACGACAATTAAACTAGACAGAGTTATAAGAACTTGCATGTATAAAAATTATTCAAAAATAGGCATGCATCTAAGCACACACACCCTGAAAGGGTATGCATATGCGTGGAGAATGATCATATGCTTGGAAGGGAATGTTTCCAAGGACATGATTTCATAAAACAATCAATAATTGTGTATGCTAGTTATATCCTTTCGTCGTTACAGTTTCTTGGGTTCGGTTGTGAGATGTGAATTGATGTTAGTACTAGCTACCTAGTGAAAAAGCTTATCTATATTAGCAGATAAATCAGTATGGGGAACAGATGCCCCCACAAGAATTGCATACGTGGACACCCAGGTTCATCATGCATTGACCGTTTCCCTGGTTGATTTTAGATATATACTAGAAAGTAAAGTTCGGGCGATGCTGCGGGTTTAAAAATTACTAAAAAAATACTTAGAAGATGTAAACACTATGTTATAGAAGAATGTGAAAAGTTGTTTAAAGGAGGTATCCTAGGCAAGGGAAAAGAAAAAGAATGAAATACATGAAACAAAATTATATCACAATAAAATTGTATTATGAATAAAAAAAAGCATAGATTGTGTTTACCTAGTGTTTTTCTATGGGGAAAGGAGTCCGGTTTTGCATGAGTTGTAAAGGACCTTTTTCTGGCAATTTTATAAGATGTCATCAAATTTTTGCGCTTTTATCTCTGCGGAATGTACATTAGATGTTTGATTTTACACATGAAAAAATATTGTTTAGTATGGTGTAAACACAAAATTACACGTGTCTTAGTTGGGATAGCAAAAGCTTTACGAATGAGATTGCAATTGAGGGTTAAACCCCTCAGTTGTCATATGTGTTCATAGAATGTAGACCGATTGGCATGTTTAAGTACTTGTATTACCCTGATTCTATCTTAGTTATCAATTATGATCAGACTAAAATCTCTACTCAAGCTTGTAAAAAAGCTTGAGTTTAAACTGATTTTCCTACTTTGAACAAAACTTTACCCAGATGCCTCAAATAATGGGAATCATACAAAAACCAAGCATAGCTAGCAGTACATGAAATCGTGGGTTCGCTGATTATATTAAAAATATTAGGATTTTTTTTAGATACGAAAAAACACAAATAAAGTTCGAAAAATCACTCACTCGATGTCCCAAGATAAAGTTCCTTATTTCCAGCAACCCTTCCAATCCTAGCTAGCCATCTTCCAATGATGTCTGCTACACAGAAAAAAAACAAAACAAAGAGATTTCAGAGATTTTAATTTGATATATATATATTATTTCTCATCGATATTTGATCTAAATTATTATACAAAATTATGAATAGATAATAAGACCTTGTAATTCTTCTGTACATTGAAGCCCCTCTTGAGAATCCACTGGCTTTCCAGAAAAGACAGCATTACGTTAGTAATTGATTAGCATTTAAACGCATTTGTATATATAACTCTACGGAATGCATGATTAATAGCATGAACTAAGCAAAGATCTACCTTAGTAAATGAGCAACATATTTTTGTCTGGTCACATTCTTCATGTCCTCTAGTTCTTTTTTTAATAATTTTCCAACTGATCAATTAATCATCCCCAAAGTTGCATTTTTAATAACCAATATATATATATATATGGATTGAAACAAAAAAAGTGCAATGCAAAAACAGGATGACTACTGGGAAGTTATGCAACTGGATGGTTCCCAATACTTGACTGCTGCTAGATCATAAGCTTTTGCATCTTTTTACTCCATATCATAATCTCCTAAAATGCAAATCTTGAGTGATTAGATAAACAAAAACCTGATGGTTTGACAGTTAAAATGGTCAGCCAAATTATATGTGAAGAAACGCTTACCCAAGTAAACTGAAGATTCATCATTTGGTTGTAATTCCCTAGCCAATCAAGGAAAAACCAAAAATTAAAAAATAAAATCAGCATATTGATGGATAGTCAGAACAAAAGCATAATTTGGCTGCATAGAAATGATGAAGAAACCTCTTTACCTGCACAGAAAGTCAAAAAGTAAAAACCCACAAACCAAGAACTTAAAAAAAAAAAAATCAAATTTCTTTCTCCAGAGATTCTGACAAAGAAACCTGAAGAGATCTCCGATGGGTTTCCAAAGGAGAGGTTGAAATGGAGGAGATGCTGTCCAACGGATGCGAAACCCCTCACTGCCGACGTGGCGGGGTGGATCCTCTGCCCCAAAATCTGAACAAACACAAAGATTAGGCAGTAAATCACATAATAATAAATTAATCAAGTGTTTTATATAATTAAAGTTCATAAATTGCAGAAGTAATAAGTGTACCACAGCTGATGAGCTTCCAGCTTCCACTTTTTGCCTCAAAATTCCCAACATCTACGATTCTTTAACACAAAATCACACTGAACGCAAACAAAAATTAGAAACAAAATACGATTTAAGAACTGAAAATTTCACTGAGAGAGATGAGGAGGAATAACAAATGATTTACCGGAAATATGGAAAAAAAAAAGATCAAAATTCGGACATAAATAAACAATACGAATTAGGGATTTGGGAGGGGGACGAACCTGTTTGGCGGATTGGAGGGGGGATCGGATCGACGATGCGATGTGTAAAAAATGAGCGTTGAGGGAGTGGAGCAGCAGCATCCAACACTTTCATGTGGCAAAACTACATTCCGTGGAGCTTGAAGAAGAACTCCCAGAAGTTGCTGATGAAAACAAGATCCCTGTCACTGACGATGGTCACGAGCATGCCATGGTGGCGGAATACGTCACAGAGAAAGATTTCAGCCACCTTGGCTATTGAATCTGGGTGTTTAATAGCAATAAAGTGGGCATACTTAGAGAATTGGTTGACTACCACTAAGATAGCATTGCGTCCGTGAATGTGGGGAAGACCTTTATTAA